CAGCGAGCCTGGAGACCAAGTGTTCTGGCGTAGTCGTGGACGTTTTCGTCGTTACACTGAAGAAAGAGGCGCCAATAGTGAATATCGGCGCACGACCGTAGACAAAGAAGGGTGAATACCCGGTGGTTCACTGGACAGCGGTGTTGTGTGCAAACGTTACAAACAGCAAGATTTTGTCCCAGTTATCGTGGTTCGGTCTGATGTACATGAATATCATGTAAATTAGTCTGATGGAATCGCTCTGTCAGGCGATTTGTCTGCAGGTAGTAAGCGGAAGTGGTCTTATGAACTGTTCCACAAGTTTTTAGAATTTTGTCAAGAATTGTGGACAGGAAGACTTTGCCTCGGTCACTAACAATGTGCGAGGTGCACCATGACGCAACACAATGGCTTCTAAAAAGAAGGCGGCAACGTCCGAGGCAGAGCTAGTGCGTAGAGGAGCGGTCTCCACGTATCGTGTGAGGTGGTCTATGGCTGTGACGATTCCGCGGTGACCCGCTGGCGTTACGGGAAGTGGTCCGATGAGGTCTATTCCGACAACGACAAAAGGTGAATTGGGACATGGAATGGGTTGTAATAGGCCAGCAGGAGCTGAAGTTGGTCGTTTCTGGCGTTGACGAAGTGCGCAAGAAGCGACATAATGAGCTACAAAGGTAGAAAGACCAGGCCAAAAGAAACAGCTCATAATGCGGTTGTAGGTCTTCAGAAATCCTAAGTGTCCAGCTGACGGGTCGTCGTGCAATGCTTCGAAAAATTGTTTTCGAAGCGAACGGGGAAGTATTGGCACCCACCGATGCCCATCCGCATTGTAAGTATACCGCTGAAGGACATTGTTCTCTAGCTTGAACTGCCGCAGCCGACGACGTAGCCTGGCATTAGGTGAAGAAGGTGAGCCCTTCCGATGATACAGTTACAGTAGGGGTCGTCACGTTGGCACACGGCAAATTGAGCGCTGCTGTTTAAAGATAGCGACCCAGGAACTGCCAGGGGTGATAACGTCAGTGAAGAGGAAGCCGCTTGATCATCTGAGGGGTGTTGAGGATGTGTGGTTGGAGATGAAAGTGGCAGAGGGCAGCGAGAGAGAGCAACGGCATCCTGATGCTGTTTGCCAGACCTGTACACAACGTCAAATGTGTACTCTTGCAAACTGAGTATCCAGCGACCGAGGCGCCCAGACAAATTCTTCAGCGAGGACAACCAGCATAGGGCATGGTGGTCGGTAATCACAGTGAAGTGGCATCCATACAGATAAGGTCGAAATTTCTGAATGGCCCAAACGACAGCAAGACATTCCTGCTCTGTTATCGAGTAGTTCTGCTCCGCAGGTGTTAGTGTACGGCTGGCTTGCGCAACTACTCGCTCACGTGAAGTGTCGTCGCGCTAGAGGACAGCACCGATTCCGTGGCCACTGACATCTGTGTGCAGGAAAGTGGGTGCACTCTCATTGAAGTGACGGAGGACGGGGTATGAAGCCAAAGCACGCTTAAGGGCTTGGAAAGCACACTCGCACTCATCAAAGTGAAGGCCATTCCCGACGTCAGAAGCTTGTGTAACGGCCCCGCATTGGCAGAAAAGTGACTGATGAAGCGGCGGAAGTAAGACACCAAGCCCACGAAACTTCACAGTTGTTTTTGATTGCCCGAACGTGGAAAACTAATTACGGCAGCAACCTTGTTGGGGTCGGGTCGAACGCCATCTTTGCTGACAAGGTGACCTAATATTTTGATGCTTGTGCTGACGAAGTGGCACTTCTTTGTATTGAGCTGAAGGCCAGCGTTCGAAATGAACGTTAGAACTTCGTCCAAATGCTTAAGGTGCTGAGGAAAAGTAAACGAATAAATTACGAAGTCGTCTAAATAACATAAGCAGGTTTTCCACTTGAGACCACGTAATACAGTATCTATCACGCGCTCGAATGTTGCTGGAGCGTTGCATAAGCCAAAAGGCATGACCTTAAACTCGTAAAGCCCATCAGGTGTTGCAAACGCTGTTTTCTCCTTGTCTGCTTCAGGCATAGGTATTTGCCAATACCCGGATCGGAGCTCGAGGCTGGAGAAATATTCTGCACCTTGTAGGGAGTCGAGGGCATCATCTATGCGTGGCACCGGATATGCATCTTTTTTCGTGATCTTATTGAGCGCTCTGTATTCAACACAAAAGCGGACAGAGCCATGCTTTTTCGAGACCAACACCACAGGAGATGACCAAGAGCTCGATGAAGGTCAAATAATATCTCGTTTGAGCATGTCGGCGACGTTTTCCTCAATGATTTGCTGTTCCACCGAAGACGGGCGGTATGGGCAGCGGCGTACAATGGAAGTGCCTTCGGTTTCAATGCTGTGCTCTGCAACGGAGGTGCGGCCCAGAACTTTGGAATGTTCGTCAAACGAAAGGTTGTGCTTTTGAAGGAGGTCTAAGAGGTCTCTCTTTTGCTCGGCAGCGAGGCGAGGACTTATGGTAGCATTTAGCCCCGCCGTGGTGGTCTCGTGGCTAAGGTACTCGGCTGCTGACCCGCAGGTCGGGGGATCGAATCCCAGCTGCGGCGGCTGCATTTCCGATGGAGGCAAAAATGTTGTGAACCCGTGTGCTCATATTTGGGTGCACGTTAAAGAACCCCAGGTGGTCGAAATTTCCGGAGCCCTCCACTACGGCGTCTCTTATAATCATGGTGGTTTTGGGACATTAAACCCCACAAATCAATGGTGTCATTTAAAGCAACAGTGGTAGCCTTCATATCAGTTGTAGCAGACAAAGGTGTTGATACTGCGTGAAGGGGAACCAGCAAAAAAGGCTCGCTGTCAGTGAAGCAGCTCACAGCAGTGCCCTGGGGCAGCATCACTGGCAAAGAAGTTGGGTTCAAGGCGGTGACCAATGCTTTACCGTTGTTAAACCGCACAAGGCCAGGTGCAGTGGTAAGCCCCGCAGGTTTGGAGTGAACTGGTGGAGCTATGAACACATCACCGGTAACTATAGTATCAGAAGCGATCGTGAAAATTTGTTAATCTCCTGGCGAAATGAAACAATCAGCAGCAGCAATGAAATGGAATCTGTATGGATCAACATCGGATGGAACGCTCAGTAGCTGACATTTGAATTACTCGCCGACGACACAATATGAAAGCTGATGCCGTAGAAAGGAAGTCCAATCCTAAAATGACTGTGTTAGTGCAAAAAGGAAGTACAAGAAACTGAATGTGGTGAAGGATGCCATCTATGAAAACGCGGACTGTACAAACACTTGAAGGCTGAATAAGGACTCCATTTGCGCAGCGAAGGGGAGGGCCATCGTGTGGCGTCCTAACTTTTTTCAAACGGGCACAAAAGTCTGCACGAATTACATGCGCCTGTGTCTACCAGTGCCTCTGTCTGTATACCTTCAAGGTACACCAACAAAATGTTTGATGGGCTGTCCGGAGGAGTTTGACGCAGTTCGAAAGATGCAGCTTTCCCTTCCGAAGCTGCATTGTTTAGTTTTCCAGTTGGCGGTCGGGAATTGAAGTAGAAGGTCAGAGTGGAGAAGAGGAACGCTGCATCGGTGAAGGTAAGCGAGACGCGAAAAACGGAACTGCCAACTGAGCTGAAGTTCTGCGGAGACTGCGACCGACGTGCGTTGTTCTGATACAGTCGGCGATAGGATGGTACAACGGTGTAGAAGTCGTCCCGTTCAAAGTCATCGTAGCTTCGATTTTCGTCTTGCTGACGGCGTCGACAAAACCTTGAAATGTGACCACGGATGCCGCAATGGAAGCAAGTCGGCCGCGTAGTGCGCCAGGCGTTGTAAGGCTGGGCAGATGGTCGCAGTGCGAGTGAGTTGAGCGAACCATGCACTCCGGGCGCTGGTAGCTGCATTGGGCTTTGCTGGGGTGCAGATGTCTTAGCAGCAACCTGAGCATAAGTTGGCATGGCCACAGGATATGAGCTCGGAACAGGTGCGACAGTCATCGAGGCCAGGCTTTGGTGGGGTGCAGGTGTCGTTGCAGCGACGCGAGCGTAACTTGGTATGGGCCTGGGATGCGAGCTCGGAACTGGTGTGCCAGTCATCAAGGACAGTTCCTCCTTCACGACGTCGCGTAGACTAGTAGCAGGTGGCGCCGTTCGAATGTCAAGGTGGCGAGGTGAAGCCTGTGCATGAAGTTCCTTGCGGATGATAGAGTGGATTACGCAGCTCGGTTGTGTCATGACTCGAGCTCACATCAGAAATATCAGGTTGCACCGGAGTGGTCCGAAGCTCAAGGCGCTGACAGGTAGCGACATCGGCTATGGTCTGGGAATTCTGCACCACAAGCACGTTGACAGTCGCAATACCTTTTAGCAGGTGGCGCACGCGGTCATATTCCGCCATATAGTTGTCGATGCAGCAGCAGAGGGCGAGAACATCTTCAATGTAAAAAGTGTAAGACTCGCCGGGGCGTTGAACACGTGCACCAAGCCTCTTCTTGGCGATATCCGAGCGCACTGACGGGTTGGCGAAAATGTGGCGGAGCTGATGTGTAAAGGCGGGCCATGTCGAAAAATCTGTAGCGTGGTTGAAAAACCACATTTTTGTGACGCCGCTTAAGTAGAATGCAACGTGGGTGAGTTTTGCAGGCTCATCCTAGTTGTTGATGGCACTCGCGCTGTCATACTCCTCGAGCCAGTCTTCAACGTCCTCACCCGGAAGCCCTGCAAATAGCGGAGGATCCTTTTGAGGGCTGGTGACCAGTTGAGAAGGGTTTCTTGGCAGCGGCGAAGCTGGCGCGCTGGGCTGGTCAGCTTGCAACATTACCGAACCCAGATCATTTAAGCGGCGGCCTTAACGGAGCTCCAGGGATGTGTTCTAGAAGACGCTGGGGGTGTCCGAGAGCGCGAGAGGACACAGGAACCGGGCAGCACTCTCCACCACTTGTAAGACAGTGCTTAGGACCCTCAAGACTCTTATTTATTGTCTAAGTATGAGCCCCACAACCGAAATTGGAGTGGTGATGATGAGCATGTACAGATGAAAAGAGGGGACGCATAAATAATGCTCACAATACTTTCAATATCGGAAACCAAACATGAATTCTATAGTAGCCATCGCAATATTTGAACAATATTTTAATTACAAATTGTATCCATTCATGTTTTCCTAAAATAAATACTATAGGCAAGTTAGTTGCTTTATATAGCAGTGAATTTATTCTGTAATGGTGAAGCAGCACCAATTATTGCACACTAACAAAATTTGAATACCAATAACGGCAGGGTTTCTTAGCAGTATACTTGCATTCACATTTCTTTGCCTTTTTCTTTAACCTTGAATTTGATAATGCAATAAACTTAATGTGTTGCTTGATAATTTGGTATGTGTTGTATGAAACTGTGAATCACCTGCTGTAGGTAACACACAGTTTCCCTTCGTGCCCCTTGGAACTTCAGTTATACTTTTCACTTCAAATGTGCGAAAACAAATGCAACACTGCAAGTACGTAGTAGTCCTTTAATGATTGCGCCACAAGCTCAATAAAAACTTCGAAACAACCACACATCACGTTTCGTTAATGTTTCCGAGACTTGTCTTCTAGTGAGCTCCTTGTTCACAGGTGCAGACAAGAAAGTAAAATAAAGCAAACAAGGAGCACAGCCTTGTAAGCATTTTTTTTTCTTTTACTAGTTTACAACGACCACGTCACAAGCTCAATGACGAAAACTCCTGAGACACCTTCCCTCCCTCTGCTTGTTGCCCTTCCAAAGAGAGGTCCTCACTCATGCCATTAAAACAGGCTGCAGTGCTCTGGCCAGCAGGGCAGCATCAGATTGCCACTGGTAACTCGAGTGTGTGTGTATGCGTACACGTGCTGCAAGTCGAAACTTTTAATTTTTACTGGCTACAACGGGAGTGGGTGAAGTTGCGGCCGGCTGCGGGTTCACGGCACCACTGCAAACAAGATGAAAAAACGCAAGACAGTAACGTGTATTAGTAGGCATACCCACAAACCCCAGCCCGCAGCAACATTTCCAAGCCTACCTTTGGGTCTGTTGTCCACCTTCTTTCACTGCTGAAAGTTATTCAGAATATCTGCATGTATTTCATGCTTAAGTGCCTTTGCGGAAAACTAAGAAGTTGCGAAAGAAATGTCTTACACCCTGGTCTAGAAGCACAGCGTTCACTATTTGGATTTACATTGATGGCATGTATCAACTTCCACTTTCCTATTGACGGAGCACATTTTGCACGTATGATGCACATTTTGCATTTATCATTCACTGTATTTTTCTCCCCAAATTTACCACTAAGACATGTGAAACTAGCTTTGAAAAAGTTCAGCCAGCCAATGCACCATTGTTGCCACTCGCACACACTTCAACCCGACAGTGTTCTCAATGCAACACTTTTCTATCCTTCAGTGAACTGAATGTGATGACAACCATTTTTAGATTTGTTATAGAAAGCCGGCACATCCTACAACGTCACTCCGATCAGCAGAACAAATTTTCTAAGTTTTTATGCTTCACGGGACCAAACACTTCACCCACCTGACAGGGCTTCAGATGAAAAGTACCGAACATCAACGTCGGGATCGGTGTTCAGCTTCTCCAAGCAGGGCTTTACTTGGCCTTGCAGTGTCCTGCAAAACATATTTCAATTGCTGCACAGACTCACAACAGGTACAGATAGTTTCTCTCAACAATTACAGTCTTCTGAATGGTGTGAGGGACACATACATATGAGCTCGAAAGGAAGAGTTCGATGACAAGTTATTTCAGTAGGTTTCAATCTGTGTTCCTGAGCACATGCATACAAATATATCACACTTGGGTATTGCAAGTTCTGAACATTAATTTTCTACACGTCACAATATGAGACATTCACAACTACTTGCTTTGACTAAAGGCTGGTTTCTAGTCTACACTGCCATTTTGATTGTACATGCAGCTGGGCAAAAACTGTCCAGGCTGCAGATTATGTTGTTAAAAAATGGTAGAACGCACCTGCAAACCTGAACACACCACGCACCTGCAAACTATTCTAGTGGTCATGTTTGACTACATATGCTGCCAAGCCCCATGTATAGAAACAGAAGAGATGCTCCAAATTGCGAACTAATCAGCTTTGCCTATGTTTCAATGGCAGGTTTGAACGCTGCAATTGCATAACTCCCTTGCTATTTGTCACTGAAATGAGCGATTATCAAGAATTCTTTCCACACAAGCACAGTGCAATAGTACCCAGCAGCAAGATGTCACTCACATCAACAAAGCAGAGCCCACGACATACGACAAGAGCTGCATCCACTTTACTATGTGGCCCCCTGAGAAACTGCTAGTCCCACTAACATGGCAGCACGTCAATGCCTTCAGCAACACGAAAAGGACACTCACGGTGGGTCCAGTAGGGGTGCGATGCGCTGCAGTGTCTTGGCAACATTGAAGCGGACGTTGGCAACAGAGTCGCTGGCAAGACCGAGCACAGTAGCAAGCATCAGGCGGCTGGTGACCTCGCCGCCACACGCTTCAGCCAGCACGTTGATGCAAAAGAGGCAGGTCATGCGGTGAAGATAGTTCTGGTCTCGTGACATGGTCAGTACTTTTGGGATGACCGTGGCCTGTGCCCAGTCCTTGCCAAACTTGTCGACCAGCTTGCGCAGATTTTGCGTGGCAGCCTCGCGTATGGCGAACACGTGGTCCACCAACCACGTCATGCAGAGTGCATTAAGCTTCTCATCAAAGAACTCCACACCCAGCTGGCCCGCCAGCAGCGGCATGTACTCGATGATAGCAAGCCGCACGCGCCACTTGGAGTCCTCGGCAAGCTCGACGATGGCCGGTAGCAATGACTGCGAGAGCTGTTGGATGCCGATGACCTCGTTGACGCAGTCTAGGTTGGAGATGATGTTGAGTCGAACTTCTGGACACTCGTCCTTCAGCTGTGAAAGGAACAGCGGGAGGAGGTGCTCCACGGTGTTCTGCTTGCCCAGGATTGGAGAGAGGCCCATGATGACAGAGGCGAGGGCAGACTTGACGTGCTGATTAGGATCAGAGACGAGGTCCTTGACACAGGGCAGGATGTTGCTCATGATCACCTGTTCCTGCACTTCGGGGGGCAAATTCTGGCAGAAGTCCTTGACCTTGTGGGCAGCAGCTGCCCTCACTTCGGCCTCACAGTCCTTGAGCAGGTTCTGGAAGGCTAGGACCAGATCGGCACGCGTCACTTCAGGGCCAAGGGCCTTCTGCAGGTCGGTGAAGCGGTCCGCTACCATGTAGCGAACCCGCCAGCTTTTGTCTTCAGCCGCCTGACGCAAGGTTGGCAGCAACAGCGGTTCCAGATCTTCTCGTGGCAGGAGGCCAGCCAGTGACACGCAAGCTTCTACAGCCAGCAGCCGCACGCTGTCCTACATGCACAAGGCATTGCAGTTTTAAAGAAAGTCACCAGCCCGCTTTCAGTGAGAGAAAGATTATTGAGGAGGGGATGCCAGAGGACATGTTAAGTGACACTAAATGCAAGCATAGACCTGGGTTGTTGATCCTTCCAGAGACATGCTGTTACCTCCATGCTGTTACTCATGAGAACAGAAAGCTGCTACAGGAGGAGCCGCACAATAGACATATTACGAGATTTACTCTATAACTTTAGTAGACAAGTGGTGGTGACTGTTACGATATTTCTGGACGGCTTGAAGCATGTGCAATATGAAAACAGTAAATTCTTTTGCTGTTCACAACGAAAGCCACCCACTAAAATGGTGAGCTATATGCACAAATACCACGAATGTCTTTGCTGTTCAAAATGAAAGCCACCAACTAAAATGGTGTACTATATGCACAAATACCGCGAATGGCTATGAACTGCAAGGTCCTGAACACCCGAGTTAAAGTAACAAAATCCAAGCATACGTATGCATATATCAGTGGACAATAGAACAAGAACTCTGTCAAAGGTAAACAACCACGGCAGGCCATCAAAAACAGAAGAGTATTGTGTCCACTTGGTTCATAGCAAAGGTTTTCAGCATGAAAAAACAAGGACGAGAAGAGATAAATGCAAACTGCCGTCCTGTTTTCGCGCATCTTTTCTTATTCTTCTCTCTACGCTACAAAATTCCACTGCAAACAGCATAACGGGCAGTACGTACCTGCTCATCTTGGGCAAGGTAGCCCCACATGGCAACCAGGTCTCCTTTGAGCCACTCAGGCTCGACGACCTGAGCCAGTTCGCCCAGCTTGGAGGCGGCCGCGCGCCGCACCATGGGCGTGTCGTCCTGGCACAGGTTGCGGAAGTGGCTGCGCAGCTCAGCTTTGACGTTTGGCGACACGCGCGGATAACAGACGGCGAACAGGCCGCACGCTGACGTGCGCGACGTGAACCAATCACCCGAGGCGAGCCGCTTCACCAAGGGCACAAAATACTGCTCCAGGTCTGCCGCGCTATGCTGCTGCGAGATGGCACGCAGAGACTCGACCGCCTTGTCTCGCACCACCGTCTCCTCCACGGTGGCCAGGCTCTCAAGAGGGGGCTGCAAGAACACACGGACTCGGACCTGCTGTCATTCACTTCTTCAAACGAGCTGGGTGTGTTTCCTTTAACAGGAGTTTCATTCACTGAGAGATGAACATGGGTGCATAATTCCAAGTGCAAAACCAATAATCATGGGGGCAGTTTAAGCAACAATTCCATTTAAGATACTTCCATTCACAGAGTATACAGCATTTCACTCTGTATACAACAGGAAAATCTAGGCATACACTTCGCAAGAGCAATGACTTCAATAAGATTCATGGGTGGGAGCAGTGCGAGACAACAAAGTGCTGCGTTTGTCATCTTGTCCTCGTCTCTTGCTTTGCTACAAAGCATACTTCTTCCATTTTTTTTTACATTTACTACCAAAGAATGTCATGCATGAAAGAAAGATGTCGGTATGGTTAAAAAATATATTTAATGCCCCATGTTTCGATCTTGCAGATGGTATGCATTCATTTCAAAGTTACACGAAGAAACTAAGACCATAATGTGATCGGTGCACAATCTTGTGCCACACACACCAATCCTGTAGTACAAGCATTGAGTATATAGTGTCAATATTAATGCTTAAACATTGAAGTAATTAAGGTATAAACGATTTAATTACACATGACAAGATAACGTGCCATGACGAAGGTTGCACTATCTAATAATTTGGCACTATGATGAATGAATGTTGCAATTGTTTGCAACATTAGCAATTAAGAAGCTATGCCTGCTAATTCAACTTTTTTGAAGAAACAAAACTTAAAATAAATGCCACTTTACATTAATACACAATTCCTACAACCTTCTATATACTTATTAGTAAAGTTCTAAATTGGCATTAACAGAGCCTAACAGCAAAAAACAACAAGATCTACGTCTAATACGTACCAGAAGGCAATGGACAAACTCAGGGCCACCAACCAGTGGTGTGAAGTTGCCCAGCTGCTCAGCAAGCGCCAGAAGCACCTCATCTTCATCGTAGATGGTGTCTGCGTCGCCAAAAAAGAAACACCCTCACCTCAGGCCGGGGCTATCATCGCCCGCATCTCAAACAAAGAGCTTAATTTAAAGCTGGTGCCTGCTGTTTTAACTAATGAGGACTTAAACGAGGGATCGACAGCATTACCGACAAAATGCTCTCAGGGAGTCATGCGACACAACTACAATGAAATTTTGTCTACACAAGAGATTGTGTTTACCTTTGATCATGCCTAGAGCAGCCAGAGCGGACAGCGAGTTCGTGCCACCACATGCGAGCAGCAGTGACAGACATGTGGTGCAATGAAGCGGGACAGAGCCTCTCACAAGAACTACAGTGCTACATTCCTCGTTGCCCATTGACTAAATGTGCTAAAGCTGCGACTGCAGAGTAGACAGTGTGCTTAGCATTTATACCAGATCTAGCCTAACTGCGGGCGAAATTTATGTGGCACCAGACTCTAGCGAGTCCTTGACTGTGATAGTGCAATTACTGTTAACAACCAGTTATGTTTCAATTATTTCAAGTTATGTACACACCTTGCTTTTTAACCTATACAAAATTTCGAGCCTACATTACGCTCAATGCAAGAAGGTCCACAGCTCTCTTTGCAAAGATAAACACAACATGAATCACACACTTGTTGTATTCCTGCTGGATGTTTTTTTGTAGTAAAACCAACACAGAAGCACTTTGAGTAAATTGGCACTGGTTTCAGGGTTCAATGCACTTAATATGAGTGGCTAGATCCAAAGAATACCTGCCTGGATAATCAAAGTGTGATGAGTAAAATTATATGAAGCAGTAACGATCCCTACTACCCAAGCAATCACCACGTTCCAACACCTTGAAGTAACCACGAGCCAAACTGACCAATAGTGATATGGAAAGGCGGGCTAGTTGGTTTTGCTGCATACTGAAGCTTCAGTGCACACACACACGAGGACAGAGATGACAGGGACACAGGACCAGCGCAGCTGCGCTGGTCCTTTGTCCTTATCGTCTCTGTCCTCGTGTGACCTCTAGATTAAACCATTATCCGCCATTACGATGTCAGCAAAAGGAGGCTCCAGCTAAGGAGACATCTGCTAAGAACAATAAGAAATGTTAAGCACAACAAGCACTTCTTAAGTAGAAGTTATATTTAGCCCGACAACTAGCATGCCATGGTGCTGCAGCTTCAGCCGAGAACAGTTGCAAAAGACATTAATGAGCGTTCTTTGTGCATTATTGCCTGTTCTCATCAATATTGTGCCTAAAAAAGAAATGGTACTTAAATTTACACTTTTCTTCTGCCATTTAAAGGACACACCACAGTAGCTCTGAAAACCAGGCTTGTGGACTTGAAAGCGGCAAACAGTGCAGTTCAGTTGCGACTTATATAGCAAAGAACAATCGTAAAGACCTCAGTGAAATGGCACCAGCAGCATGAAAGTAAATGCACACGAAAAAACCATTTACCAGTGAGGAAAGGGATCAACTCGCTGCGAGTTCGCTCCACACCAAGGGCCAACGCAATAGTAGACAGCTTCTTGATGCTGTTAAGACGCAACTGAAATGAGAAAATATGAACTGTTTTACCCACTGCAAATACCAGGCAGATATGTTACAAATAACACATTGGTAGTAATTTTCTAGCTACATTGTCAATGTGTTGAGCAATTTTGGAAGACTGCAAAGACTGGACTGTGAAAAACATTGACATCATCCAAAATGAACAATCTTGCCCAATTCCTTTTACGTTTGACTCAAGAGAGTCATCAGAGGCATTCCCCCCCCCCCCCCCCCCCCATTTTTTCTTTCCTTGACTTCACAGATAGTGCTGTTTACTCAAAGAATGCAACTGAAGGATTTGCATAAGCACACACCAGTAAATGCAACATGCTACTAAAGCAGAGTTTGCTCTTGAGCAATGGTAGAGGAGCTTGGTACACTGCAAGAAAATGACATTAAATATAAATCTTCCAGGGTCAGTGGTGACCATAAAGCAAAACGTAATGTGAATTTAATGCATGTGTAAGAATTTTGTCAAGCAAGGCTTCCATGAAGCAAATTCATGAGAGCTAACAACACATGTGAATGTATAGATGTCTTGTTTATTTTCATGCATAAACATACAATGGTTATGTTTACACCTGGGCTAATCCGAAAAGTGTCCCTTGTGGCACATACAAAAAAAAATGACACAATTCGAAAGGCCAAATGACTGAAAAAATGTGTGCTTCGTCGATGTGTGCACATAGCTTACGCACAGGTTTTATGCGAGATTTACGTACTTTGTTACAAACAACAAGGGCTCCCTGTCTTAAGCAGTACCGAGTCGCTACTCAGCACCTTACAAAAGTTGCTGTGGTGGCACTCGCACTACGCGCATTTGCATATCCACAAATTTATCCGACAAAGACCCCCAAAAAAGAAAGGCAATGGTCTTTAAGAGGAAGTACTGAGCATCACAACATGGCTCCGTAATTTCAATTTCAGCTTGATATCCACCCGGACGAAAACGACCCCGTTTGAGCAACAAATCGCTCCTACAGCAACTTTGTGGAAAAGTGCTTAAATTCGTTTTTTTATTAGCAATGTAAGTGCCAATTTACTACCAAACCACACGAGCACCTAACTTAGTCGAATGATCGATTAACTCGCCATTCGCGGAATGAGATTTCAGCCCACAGCGCGTATTGCTCAGGTGCGTATGCACCTGGAACAAGCGAGTCGATTAAAAGAATACCGCATTTAGTTGCAGTGATTTAATGAAGCTTTAGTCTTCACACTCATCCTAAGCAAAATTTTTCTGTTTTGCTGGGGTAAATTTCATGCCCTGGCTTCGACGAGGCAGTGAAGCGTCAAAACCCCGGTCGTGGTCAAAACAGCCTACAGGCACACACAGCACCGCGACCCAAAGCTCGCGTTAAAACCACGCAATGACGGACGCCTCGAACGATACTCGCGAGTTCAGTTGCACGTCACTTTCCAACGCTAAAGAACACAAAAGAGAAGAAAAATGACATTCGGGCAGTACCAACTTCACCGCCTTCGCAATGCCGTCGCCATACAATCGGTTAGGACTAACACGGTAGTCGAGCGAGAGCACCGAGCGTGAGGGCGACAAGACTCACCTGGACATCTTCATTCCTTAGTTCGTCGATTAATACCGCGATTGGATAGAGTGAGTCTTCCGTATTTGTATCGCTCGCTGCCATTTGTACGCAAAAACTGGGCAGGTCGGCAAGACCCGCATCAAAATGAAAACTACACACACGGCTGGCTACGGGCTACAGCAGCGCTGCCGCAGAGACAAACGCGAAATCAAATCAAATACGAAAATCGCTGCTGCTACATTTCAATCCGTACGCTTTCCTACTTAAAATATTTTTTTATTTAAATACAGTTTATAATAAAATACGCCTTAAAAAGAGAAATACAAGCGTAAAAATTGTCGTTTCATTTTTATGGTGTATATTCGTGGCGTAAGACGTTGGCACCGCTTACTTAACCATGACAATATTTAAAAAATTTAAACTGATCTTCATAAAAGAAGTTAAAAGCGCAATTCATTTTTATTATTGTTAAAGTTGAAGCACAAGTTTAAAATCATAGCGTTTAGGCTTTAAACAATGTTACCAAAGTAAGTACCGCAGCCAAGCCACAGCTGACAAATTTGTTTTTTGTTCTTTTATAGAGTTTAGATTTTGAGGCTGTGTGTAGGAGCGTTACCACACTGGAACCGCCTTTCTTTGTCGGAAGGGTTGGCGTGGAGCGTCTGTTAGTGTAACTAGTAGGTCTGTTATTAAGGTTAGTTGGTCTGCCGCGTTCAATATCCGTGTATGCGCTGCTGTGGCGGTAACGGTCAGTAGCCCGTCGCCGGCGTTAGTCACAGCAACATACTATCCGCATGAGCCGACGCAAACATGTTCCAGACAACACGTGCGGATCTCGGCGCCGACAACATCTCAGAAGACGTAAGTTTGGCCGTCTCCTTCGCTTAACTAAGCCGCAAAGGCTTGTGGCATGGGCCAAAGAGATGAGGAACCGTGTTCTTAAAAAGGTGCCATGTGCGAGTGTTCGATGACAGCTAACATGCCTGCTACAACGGTGTAACGAGCGCCGAGTGCCTTTCGTCATTTTGTTGCCATTAGTGCCACCTCTCTGTTGCCGTTTTTATTGGGTAATCAGTGTGCTTCCTCTTGAAGTCTGTCGTCAAGTATGACAGGTGCAACTTAGAAGTGTGGCAGCTTGGGCTAGTTGGTATGACATGACGATAGTTATAGCGCGAGAACAGAACGACGACACAGAGACAAGAAGGACCTTCGTGTCCTTCTTGTCTCTGTGTCGTCGTTCTGTTCTCGTGCTATAACTATCGTCATGACAGGTGCGTTCTGCCGCGGGGAAGTCCAGTGAAACGCCTATTGCGTGTGTTCATTGGCTTCTTATCTATGCCGGAGCACTACCGGCCAAGTTATTTTCAGTGCAAAATGTGATTACAGGTGAACGAAGTGGATGTAAAATCATGTTATTGTTATGACGACGTATTGCCGTAAGTGCGGAAAATGAGATTAGAAATTAGGCCGCGCCTATAGTGCCGGCATATTAACCCGGAGAACAAGTTGCCGGCAGTTTTTCCTTATTGGTTGCCCATGACCATGCGACTTATCTGCTGGCACATTTCTGGTGAGCCTGTCATGCTGGCTTGTTGTATTTTTATCTTTAAGCCGTCATTTAGCTATTTTTGCTCTCCGACATTTCGCAACACTGATCACCATTGTCAAGGACATGAGGCTCCCTCACCTAACTTAACCTAACCTAACAAGCCCCACAGGCAACGTAGCCTAACCTAACGAGCCCTACAGGCATTGTCCATGCAGTATGCGGCTGGTTCGCAGTGCCGCTCGTTTCAAGTGTGCTTCAGGTCGTGAGACGAGCTTCTGTGAGGTGGACAATATCACGCCTAGGTAGCGGTATTCCTCTAGCTTGGGCAGCTCCTCACCGTTTGGCAGCACCAGACCAGCCTCGGCACACTCCTCAGAGAACGTCACTGGAAACTCTCTTAGGAGAGAACTTCTGTCACCCGGTTGGTCGATATACTTTGCCGGCAATATAAACACTACCTAGAAATTAATATTTTTGGCTTCTCGAAATATTTCAGCAAGAATTCTGAAATGACTGCACCCTGACAAAAGTGACTTGCTATGGACGTCCATAACATGCTCCCGACTGGATTTTGGATATCACCTGCATTTCCAAACCAACAATTTTCTTGCAACTCTGGAGGATATCTATCGCAGGCCTATTTGGCGGCCTTTGCCTGAATCCAGTGTTATCCCTTGCAAGACCCAAACAAGTCTCGGACACACTGCGTATATGGCAGAAATGAAGGGATCTCTTTTATTCAGGGTGTTTTTCTAAAAACTGCCTTCTACTGTCTCTTTTTTTTCTTTTTACTCTCTGAAGTTGGTATTACACGCACTAAAATGAATAAAGTTGGACTAAAGCACTCGTGAACTTTTGTAACGAAGTCCATTTTTGACTTTGGAGTGCACATGACTATGAGGAGGAAATGCCGCTGACATTTAAAGTTGTATGCAATTACAACTGAAAAGTTGTAGGCTCTTGTGGGATGTTAAACACCACAAGTCAATTCTATGTGGTATGTAGTAAATCATCGCCCCGCCGCGGTGGTCTAGTGGCTAAGGTACTCTGCTGCTGACCCGCACGTCGCAGGATCGAATCCCGTCTGTGGCGGCTGCATTTCCGATGGGGGCGGGAATGTTGTAGGCCCGTGTGCTCAGATTTGGGTGCACGTTAAAAAACCCCAGGTGGTCGAAATTTCCCGAGCCCTCCACTACAGCGTCTCTCATAATCATAGCGTGGTTTTGGGTCGTTAAACCCTACAAATCAAACAATGTAGTGAATCGTCTGTGACCACCAAGACCCTTTTTTTCAAGTTTTCTTACAAATTCTTTTCTTTGCAGAGTTAGTACATTTGAGGTTTGTTTCATTTCAGCTGGGCTGCGAAATTCTGGGGAAAAAAGCTGCAACTGCGACTTGAAAGATTGATCGGCCCCCTACAGTTACAAGACACCACAATGAGGGACTGCTGCACTGTTTCTGGAAACAGATAGTACACGACTTTGGAAAATACAAGACCAATTCAGTATCACATACTCAACTACACAAAATGAAATGGGTAATCCATTGTGAACTTACTTACAGCGCAACACCAGAAAAAATACAGGACAGGGAAGGAGTAAAACAGAAAGAAAAGAGGCACTGACTCACAATTGTTGTTTATTGGAAAAAACGGGGTGAAAAGTATATATATATATATATATATATATATATATATAGTACTGGCAGCCTACATCACAACATGCGCAGAATACGAGGTGCACCGAGGTAGCGTTATCACACTCATGGCAATAAACAAGCTTGGCCTAAATAACTTAATTCTTTTTCATGCAGTGTGACGGATGGTTCACTAACGCACTTGCTACCCCTAAGCTTTATATGATATGCCTCAGCGATTTCTCTAGTTAGCTGGTTAGGATGCTTGAAGATGATGGTGGTTCTCTCAAAAATGGGACGACAACCGCATGACCTGCAATTTTCCGGCAGATGAAGTGGCGCGATCCCTTGAAGAAATAACTCATGCTCCCTTAAACGAACATTCACACATAGTTGCGTTTGTCCCACGTACTCCCTACCACACGATAATGGAGTTAAATGCACAGATTTTTTTTACACATGCGATGTACTTGTTCATATGATTCACAGCGCATCTTCCTTTTGGCCTGTTTGTTCCTCAGTGCAATGTCAACCATCGGGCAAATGCGACCTACCTTATGTTTGGCAAAAAAAAAAAAGAACGTCGACACCATACATTGAGCCTGCGTTTTTCAGCCCATGCGCCAATTTGTGTACATAAGGAGTAATTTAAATGTTGCTAATAGTTTCATGTGGTTACAAGTGATACAACATATAATGTGTGTAAGGTTGCTGGTTCAATCCTGACTGCAGCGGTCACATTTCGGCGGAGGCAAAAAAAGGTCTGTGTACTGTGCGATGTCACTACACCTGTAGGAACACCAGATGGTCAAAATTTTTGGAGTCCTCCACTTCAGCATCTCTCATAATTATATGGTGGTTTTGGAATGTAAAACACTAGATATTTTTGCAACATATAATGTACAGGCTTTTCCAGTCTTGGTGGGAACATGGCTCCATGTGGCCATGCTCCATAGACAGCCAGTGCATCTAGCAGCCACATCGTAGTGAAGCGATGGAGGATCACAGGTTGCTTTGCAACATTTGCTAGAATGCACCGCGCTCTTGCCGTGCTGTGAAACGGAGTAAGAGCGGTACGTCACTGTGCTCATGCACCACTTTGGTTCAATGCGCCGCCATTCCAGATGCACTGGTGCTGGAGGTGGCGTATTTCTTTAAACATAAGCACTACATTGGATAGATCAGGGGGGCCTCAAACCTGCGGCCCACATTTGACTGTTTTTTACTCATATCTTTTTTATTCTTTTAATAGGTATGTTTGTCAGCTACGCAGATGTAGCTGGTCTGAAGTATTTTTTCGTGAAATTTCTCATTAGGACACCATGTGTTAAAACAACTGGAACGAAAACTTTCTATCCCAGAATCTGCATTTAGATTTCAGCCATTCTGGGGATAAGTATCAATATGTTTCTCAAAATTATATGTCAATGCCCTTTAAGAAATGAGCAATATATGAGACACGGGCGAGGCGATTATAGAGTGACAACATCAGCTGATATTTCAATCCTTCAATCCTCACAGGAGAAAAAATTGTAACCGTAAGTGATTTCAGGACTCCTGAGATAGATCATTCTGTGTCTCTAGCGCTAAATCTTGTAAGTCTACAAATAAAACATTCATGCCATTTTTTTTTTTTTTGCTATGGCCTCAGATCTGGGCAAGTTTTTGACTTCCATGCTTGTGGGCCACCTTTTGGCCATTGTAAGGGCTTTGTGGATGGCAAGACAGGTAACAGTTGTGGCATTCATGTTGGTGGCTCTTGGCGCAGGAGGAAGCATCTTTGGTGAAGGAGCGCGACCGGACTTTGCGCACAGCACTGGACCAGATCCAGCAACGGAGACGTGCGCCTCCTCCAAACCCCCCCAATCTGCCTTCTATCGTAGGAGTAGTAGAACACCAGTTTAAGGATTGCGGGGATGGCGGCGATGCCGTTGAGGCCACAGTAGACAGTGAAACTGCGACTCCTATGAAGCCATCTCCATCCCAGGTGACTTTTGAAATGGGGAGGACATTCGAGCGTGTTGGTGGTTCATCACACATCCAAAGCCCTAGTGCACTAAACTAAGCACGTACTTTCAGCCAAGATTTTGTTGCAGGTCCTGAGCATATATTTGATACATTTATGGGCACTCCATCATAATTCGCACATCAAGGATACTTGGCTTGCAAATTCATTGACTGGTCCATTAAAAATTCTTACTTCAAGAACCATAGTGCAGTGCACTGTATGAACACGAGACCAGATGAAGGCAGGACAGGCATTTACTTTTAACTCTTCAGCAAGTTTTATTGCAGATCCTGTTCATATATAAACATGCATCTGAAACTGCAAGGGAAACAACCGGCTTAAAGAAAGAAGGTGAATAGACATGGGTTGTCTCAGCCAAATGCCTGTTATTTCCTAGATAAAAAGAAAATACAACATTCAAGCTCGCTCTTGCATAAAAAAAAACTGATTGCATGCTAATAGCTTGATTGTTTAGATTAGACCACTCGTGCTTATTTACCTTCTAGCGTTCAACCAGCTGTTTCCTCTTACAGTCTCAGAGGTGTGTTTATATATGCTCAGGATCTGCATTAGAAAGTATGTTGAAAGTGGACATTTGTTTTGTTTTCATCTGGTCTCATGTTAATTTAGTACGTATGGTTTCAGAAGTAAGAGTTTTAAAAGGACCTGTCAATGAATTTGTAAGCCAAGTCTCCTTCGGGTGTGAATTGTGATGGACTGTCCATAAATGTCTGAATTTATTACAACTGCATCTTGGTGCACTAGGTATTGTATTGAAAGAAAGTGAAGGTGTTATGTTGACTTGTGCGTTTTGCTGTGATTATTGTGAATTTGTGTTTAAATTTAAGGTGACTTGTTTCAAAGTCAGTCATGCTCTATATTTATATAAAGCTAATCAATTTTGGGATCTAAATCAGTTATAAACTTGTTCTCATTTATATCCATTCAAGCAGACAAAAATTACTTTGCGATTTTCCTGACGAGGCTCACCCAACAGCTCGTTGAACTCGGTAGTGAATTCAGCAAAGTGGTTCTTTGTAGCAATATGCAGAGCAATCAAGTTAAATGAGGGCTACCGTATCTACTCGCATAATAGGTGCACTCACATAATAGGTGCATCCCCAGTTTGGTCGTGAGATATTAGATTTGTTTCTATATAATGCACACCCCAAACTTGGCCATCATCAGTAGTTGTGTACCGTACATGCACAGTTGCAATTCGACGTTCTCTTACGTTAAATGGAGCGAGGAAAAAGAAAAAAAAAGACTGTGGAGCACTGCACCAGCTGTGCAGGCTCGCCAAGTGAGGAAGAAGAGCAGTTGCCTGGACGTCGGAGTAACTTTGGCACTGGTGCCAGCGTGACTCTAAATGAAGCGTGGTATGAAATCCTCGTCAAGTACACTTTCATTTTCTGGTCAGGAAAAGCGCTGTCGCGTTTGCTACCTCGTTTGCAAATTTTAAAGCTTTTTGGTTTCCCTACGCGAGCTTTCACTTTTGCTGCCACTAAACGAGCTTGCACAAGCTCAGCGGACATTTGTGGTCGTTGATTTCTGTGCCGCCAATCTAAACATCGTATCATGCACACTGCTTTTGGTGAGTGCGATATTCTCGACGCCCAATCTTCATGCTGTCTTGTACAAACTTCCTATAGCAACATGCCGAACCATAGGCTAGGCCTAAACAGCGTTTGTTCCCTTATGGTGGCAGTCATGGGTGATCAAAGTTGCAATTTTGTACAGAATAAAGTAACTCGTTGCGGTGGCTCTACTTGAAGGAGAGGAGGCATGAGTGGCACCTGTAATCCTCGATTCGTAGCACTTGCGATTCAACTGCAATGTATTGCATATGAGGTACCAAGAATGATTGGTACCATTCAGCGCACAAAATTTCGACCGTGGTAATGTTTAATCTAGGCAGCTAGCATAGCCTATGAAGAAGGTTGGTTCGACTGTAGCATGGATATTTGTGTGTTCAGTGACTTGCAATATGACTGTCTATGCTGTAGTTGAAAATAAAATTTTGGAAAATTTTACCCTGCATAATAGGCACACCCCGAACTTGGAGCCGGATTTTCTGGAACAAAAGTTCGCTTACTATGTGAGGAAATACTATACTTGCCTGCTTGGGAAGCCTGTATAAATGCGCACATTGCATTTCAAACCAGCTGCAATAACACACGATGCATGATAAGCCTCTACACTTGCTTTGTATTATTGCAATGTTGACTTACAGCAGGCCTTGGCTTACATTATCTTTAGCTCCATTGTACAGAGATACTAAATAACATCCAAGACATTTTGATAAAAGGTTTTCATGTTTACTATGCAAAGTTTATTAGAAGGCCAGAATTGACTGCAAGGTCATTTACAGAAAATCATTGGCTAAAGTAGGCTAACTTGCGAACAGTTTTCAGGTCAATAATAAACGTTTCCTACAGCGGCATAACAGATGGCGGCAAATGACGGCAGTTCTTTAAGGGGGGAGGCTACCCTGGAGACCGAACTTTTTTATTTTTTAAGATATCTGAATGAAACTTTCAGGGGTTGTTCACTACAACAAAAACTAGCACAACTGCTAAGTTTCACGAAGCTGTGTTTTTTAGTTCCAGAGTTATTGAGGTTTAACTGGGTGCTTCACATGGGTGCCTGAGGAAGAGTCGTGAGAAATCCCAGGACATGGTAGAAAGCTGAAATTCATTCTGGTCATTCCTTGATAGCTATCCCAGGGCGCTACAAAGCCGTTTTTTTTAATTCCCCCCCCCCCCCCCCCCCCCCAAAAAAAAAATTTCACGAAACTTTGAATTTGATGTAACCAGTAATGACCAGATTCATCAAAAATTAATTGTTTATTATAAATTAACAGCACCAATTTTCAAAGAAAAGGAGCTTGTTACGCCCTTGCAAGGTCATTCAGGAACAGAATAAAAAAACGGCACACAAATCTGATGAACGGTTTTCAAGTTCTTGCTTTCCTCAGCACCACAACTAGCAAAAAAATCCGTTCTGAGAAAACAGGCCGAGAAAGTTCAAAACACGTGTTTTCTTCAAAAAGCTCCAGCACAGTAGCTAGAAGTGTCCTGGCGCACTCTTTTCTTCTTTTGCCTGGCCTGTCTTTTAGAATTCTTTTTTAGGCGTAAAGCGTCTTTTTCACGAGCTCATGGCCAGATGACCTGGTTGAAGTCCAATGGAGTCCGATATCACTTGGGTTGCTTTGCAGCAGCCGGCATTGTAGCGCAGCACTGCTTCATGCAGTGCTGTTTCTACCGCGATCAAGGATGAGTGTTGTTCCTTCGGCATCAGAGACCACAGAATGGAGTGGAATGATTCTGATGCATTTTGCGTCTTCGCTCCCAGGCAGCGCTGAAGAAGCGACTTTCGTAGATGGGCAGCATAGCTGCAGCGACATAGTCAGGTAGGCTGTGTTTATGTTTTGGCTGTGGCTCACGCTTTGCCTCTGCAGCTCTATGGCGGCACCACGATTGAGCCCCCTCTGGACAAAGTTCATGGTGAGGGTCCTGGTCAGTCGATGTGACGTGGTGATATGTTGCCATCACTGCACGCTGCATGGCTGTTAGGTCAGTTGAATTGTTTCTCAGGGCCCAACCATAATATGCTGTCAGCTTTTCAATGAGGGCTTTAGTCAGCTTCCCCTTCCCACTCAGTGGCTTATCACTTTTCTGCACAATGTTTCGAAGAGCACTTCCAATCCTTTTCTGAACATGGTTCAGACATTCTTCTTTTACAATTGGCACTAGCCCGTACACATTTTCTTCTGTGGGGGCAGCGAAGGTACGGCTGTCTCCGTCGGACACAAGAGTGGTGTACCGCAGGCCATGCTTGGATACAGACCGCCCAAAGAGAGTCAAGCCTGCCTCCACTTCCATGCTTCCCGATTTTGCGTCTGTGTTTTTCTGGCAAATGTGGTGCTTCTGCCAGCTTTCGTATGCTGCATCTCCAGGTTTGGGCCCTGTTTGGCATCCAAGGCAGTGGTTTGAAAGAACTACAGCATCCAAGATGAGACCTGTAAAGAAGTCAATTACCGATCCCACTCCGATGTGTGATGTGTGACCCCGCTTATGCCATGTGCCATCGTACACTACGGTGATGTCCTTGCAGAAGCTGGGATCCATTTCTTTATATGTTTTGATCACTGCTGTGGCAGAATCAGCATAAAACTTCTCCAAAGCGGTGGCCTCTGGCTTCCTGAACGTCTCTTTCAAGTGCTTTTGAAACGTCTTGTGGTGAAGACCTCTGTAAGAGACGTTCATGGCAGCCCAAAAGTCATTAAGAGCTGTTTGCCCCTTGCCTATTTGCTTTATAGCCATTATGGCGCGGACATTTACATCGAAAGCCTGCGTGTCTTTTTCGTGGGGTGATGTCCATAATTTATCGACGGTGCCACAAGAGGCGCACACGACTTCAAGTTTTGTTGCAAGTCCAAGCTTGGTGCTCTCTCGGACAGTCATAGCATCTTTCAAACATTCTTTGCACACTGTGCGGCTGAGCACGACGTTAAAGATGTTCATTTGAACGAGCGAAAAATGTTCGCCCTCACTTGTCACTGCAGGTGCAAGAGCCGGCTGCATCAGTTGAAATTTCTTCTGCGTCGCCGGCGTAGACTCGAGTTCAGCGCGAACGGCGTCACGACGTTTCGCATTCGCATTGATTTCTTCCTTCGTTAGGAAACGCGTCCGCAGATGAAGCGACGGTCCACTCACGCTCGATGGCGGCACCGATTCAGACGAAGTGCTGGGTCCGGCGATATCAGAAGCACTCGGTGTCACACTGGATGGCATCGATTCGGAGCACGTGTCGAGCCCGGCGATCTCGGAAACACTCGGTGCATTTGCGGCTCCAGCCACACTCGATGTGTCGGATTCTCGACTGGCGACAGCCGACAACACAGTTCCGTCGCTGCAAGCGTCTACGCAGTCGGCGCCCGCAGCAGAATAGCGGAATTTCGATGATCGTATAAGCCGCATAGCGCGCCTCCGCGCACCGGACTTCCGCACTGACTTCGGCTTCGTTGCCGGCATCGCCCGCAACAACAAAGACGAAAGGCACAGAACTAGTGCAAAAAGAAAAAAAAACGAGAGAAAATGATCGAAAAGATAGCACAAGGCGAAGAGCGGCTCGTAAGCAGACGTCTGTCGAGGCGGACGGAGCAGAGAGCAACAACGAAGCGAGCGCGCTGGACGCGCCATCGAGAGGAGCGACCGCCCCCGCTGCTGCACAGCAGCCAATGGCGGGCACGCTTTCTCCCGCGAGATATGAATGCGCTGCTCTAGCCAATCAGCGCTCCGCATCCCATCGCGGGAAAACACCAATAGCGTCTCAACTGTGCTGCCGACGCCATTTTGCAAGGCGGCGAACGAGAGAGAAAGAATTCACGGTCAAAACAACACCAAGATGGCGCGGGACGACCACATGGTCCGGGAATGGCGCGCGCACGAAGTTTGGTTTGATTTCGGGATTTGCGCCTGTTTTGGACGCCGCGGCGGCCTCGAAAATAGTATTTTTTTTTGCACTTTGCGGTTGAATTAGGTGCTGATAATTACAGAATAGGTAGTTTATGAGACATACAACCCAAAAATGTGGTTTTTCAAAAGCCGACTTATTCGCGATTTTTCGGTTTTCAAGGGCCGCGTCCCCCCTTAACAAAGTCCAGTTTAGGCAAATGACATTTTCAGGGTGTAGTCAGCCGGACCATCTGTTTTCATGAGGGCAGCTCTCTAACATCTTAGTCGGTAAGCATCTTCTATTCTTCAAGCATTTGCGTAATTTTACTATGTGAAAATATAGGATGAAATGTCTTGTTGCACAGGGACCATGCTACCGAAGAGCTTCCTTGCTACTGCTTGAGGACATTGTATGGAGGCATAGGAGTGCTCAAGTGTTCTGTTAGCCAATGGGAGTGACCATAACATTGCCGCCAAGTCTACATTGTCACAGCTCACCAGTGACTGCTATTACTAGCTCAATGACCTGTATAAACGAGTGAAAGTGGAAGGTCCATGTGAAAGGTCCTGTAAGATGATCTCTCTGGCCATGCAAAGTCTCGAAGGCTCAGTAATGGCACATAGCAAAATATAGGCCTAAGTATTCGTTTTATGGGCATTTACTGACGCCTATGACTGTGAGCCTGTCCTTTTGGGCTTTGCATTGATAATTTGACAGGTTTGGTAAACATGCACGCAGGATCCACTGGTGGCTCTACGGCAACGGGAGTGGCTGCGCAACCTTCAAGAGCAACAGGAGCTTCAAAGTCTTAAGGTTGCTTCATTCTCACCTTTGAAACAGGTGCCCATACGTACCTTTGGTTCTGATCAGTTTTTTGCCATGTGCACTTATTATATTCTAGAGACTGTATCGAACAGCAGATTCTGTAGGTTCTTTTTTGTCAGTGGGTTGACTTACATGGATTGCAAGAAGAGCTCCATTCACATTAGGGATGATGCAAAGTGCTTGAAATTTAATACCACTTTTGTACTGGCACAGCGATTCATAGTGGTTTGCGCAAACACTAGACAAAAGAGAAGTGAGAGGACAAATATGAGTATTTGTGCTCTCACTTTTCTTATGTCTCGTGTTTGCACTTAATATCATTATGAATGGCATGTTCAAACTCGCTCAGCAAGCAACTTTGTTGGCACAGCAAGCCATCAACTGACCATCCAATTTCGTTGGAGACCCTTTGCAGACGTGGAATTGTTTTTTGTTTTTTTTTTTTCAGACCTGATCATTGAAATATATATGTACTTCAAGCTTGTGTGAATGATAAATTTAGGTTTGCAGTGAATTCAAAATGAATAGCAAAGAAGTCTTTAATCGTATACTATGGCACCCTCTATACGCCACTGTGCACCTTTGTTTGGGACGGCAAGCCCGATCCTTTGTAAAGCCAGGAAATAAAAACACCTGAACAGGGTGTAGTATTTGCATGACCACTCTATAGCACTGAGTTTAATGCATTAGTGAGGTGGTGTGGCTCTCTTGCAGGACTTGACTCTGAAGGAGAAGGAGGAACAGTTGCTGTTCAATGGTGAAGTACCCCCCCTGTTGCCAGTACAGTCTTCCGCACCGGCAACATGCACCACAACAACCGTGTCCTCAACCTCATCTACCTCGACACCGTGTTCCATCACCACGTCATCACATTCCAAATGCACCACCACCTCTTCTACCATGGGCTCCATGAACTCTATGCGTGCTAGAGCCAGCAGAGCATCTTCGGGGAGTAGGGGTCGGGGCAGCAGTCGCTCCAGGCCACCAAGTGTTCACCACAATAGCCGGGGCGGGCCCTTGCATCGCAGGGGACAGCACGGTAGGCCTTTTTTATTTGTGAAGCTGTTAAAAGCCTCTATAGCCAGCTAAAACATCGTTAAGTTGGAAAAGGCCACGCCCCAGTGACTGCAGCATGGGAGCTGATCGCTGCTGCAAATAAAGAAATAGTCTCACTTATGCATTTCCCAATATTCTCTAGATGCTGTCCAGCTCATGACATCAGTCTGCGATAATAATAATGAATTATAAGGTTTAACATCCCAAAATCACAATATCAGTCTGTAGTGTGGGCCCATTGGTGCATGCTTGTGCGCATTCGCCTCTGAGGAGGATATGCGTCCGGTTTCTTAAGTTCTACTGCACTATATATTTAGTAGGGAGTTCCTATGGCAGTGGTGGCCTCGCTATAGAATGTTTGCTACTCCCAGACATAGTGTAATATCGTGGCCAGCCCATGGTAGAGGTGTAGATGCCTCCAGCAGTATGCCCAATTTATAATAATAATAGTAATAAGAAATAGTGTTTTAATAAAAGAATAAAAGCGAGCGTTATATGCCTCAGAAAATGCCCCCTCTGAATGGGTTGGGTTGGCACATGCAAAGCAGGGAACGTGGCAAAATGATGCAGGCATCATACTACTGAATTAGAAAGCATACACATACCCTTGCTATCCTCCACATACTTGCCCTTAACAGTTGTAGTTGTCATTTTCAACTGTAGTTTTCACTTCAAAAGCATCGCTCTGTTCCTGAAAAATGTTTTCAACTCTTTGGCTGGGCTAGAATAGAGTTCAAATCTTTCAAGTGATGCTTTTTTAGATACCTGCCTTGATTGGGTTGGTCGTTGGTCATCTTGGACATTTTGAGCACACAGTGTACGTGATGCATACAAGAAAGCCCGAGAATTAATCGATAAATTATGCTAAGTTGCTGGGAAACCTGACATGATGGAAAAGCACACTTGTTGTGCACACAAATATGTGTGTTATAAAAGAGTGTATTATAGATGAGTCAATCTTACTTCACATATAAAAAGTATATAAAATGAGACACCAATGTACCTAAGCCCCACCGTTGTGGTCTAATGGCTAAGGTACTCCGCTTCTGACCTGCAGGTCGCGGTATCGAATTTCGGCTGTGGAGGCTGCTTTTTTGATGGAGGCGAAAATGCTGCAGGCCTGTGTTCTCAGGGTGCACGTTACAGAACCCCAGGTGGTCGAAATTTCCAGAGGCCTCCACTACGGCGTATCTCATAACTGTAGTGTGGTTTTGGGACATTACACCCCTCATATCGATCATCAAATCAACACCGTACGCCTGCAATAAAATACAAGTTCAGAAGAAAATGTGTACGAAGTACCCCGTTTGTATATAAAATACAAGAACTGCTTTCCAGAGTGTGCCTTTTATAAAGGGGTTCAACTGTAATTGAAAAGGCCTTCTTTAACAGCAGGGAACAAACACACTTTTTCCTGCTTTCTCCTGTAGCTATCACAATGATCGTTGCATGTTGAAGAACTTTACGCTGAAATGCTCGGGGGCACCACGGTTGCCGTTTTCTTCGGCAAACTTTCATAACAGCGAGCTTGAATTTTGTCGTATATACAGTAGACTCCAGTAAACAGAACCTGAAGGGACCGGAAAAATGTGTTCCATTTAACAGGAGTTCCACTTACTGAGAGGTGAACATAGGTGCAGAATACAAGCTCGAAACCAAGCATTACAGAAGCAATAGTTCTATTTAAACAGTAGTTCCGTTCAACAAATTTCCGTTTACTGAAAGTCTACTATATAAATATTGTAGCTCATCGCAAGGATACAGTAAAAACGCAACAAACGGACGGTGAAACCTGAACTTCTGAAATCAATCTCGTGTGCGTCGCAGCACAGACACGCTGGTGCCACAGAGCGGGTGACAGGTTCTCGCATGCCTATGACGCAGAAAGTTGTCCGTGCTGTGACGAGAGTGTGCATTCTCATGGTGGTAGAGATGGGGAGCTAGAGGGAGGCAAACGCTCGAGCAGTTCGGCGACCCTTCAACAGGTTTGAGTGTACGGGTACAGTATTCTAGGTACCCTAGTTCGGGGGACATCCTCAGAGGAAAGGACTTCGCACTTGCAGCTTGTTTGACTGCGCTCTCCTGCTTCGCAAGTCGTGTCCTCGTCCAAGGCATCCAAAATCTTTTGTTACGCATGGTGGCGAGCTGGCTCAGGCAGGCTGGGGAGCACGAAACATGCAACTATATATAAATATATATATATATATATATATATATATATATATATATATATATATATATATATATATATATATTGTAAAGCTGGCAAAATATCAGGGGTGCTCAAATTATGTGCTCGGGCTGATCAAATTATGCGAGTAAATGCGGTGAAGCTCTATAATTACTCTGTTTTGATTAGAATCTGCTTTAATCGATTGATTGAAAAATGGGCTTTCTTTTACATGCAAAAGTGAGACTCACAACAGCAATTTCGCATGAAATTCAGGATTTGAAGAAACATTCAGTGAGCTTCTAACGCCACTTTGTAGTGTTGTACTTTTGCTCTCAGGCAGGTGAGGATTAGTAATCTTAGGTCGCGTTACAGTCTTGCCCACTTCATCTTGTCCAAGTTTCGGTGCTCTTAACAGCTCGCCATCTCCCATCCGGACAGTGAGCTGGGCTAGAAGGGTCGCCGAAGCACAGCAGTGTCCGGCCACCTAGAGCGGCCCGAGGGCTCGTCGTCATCCTGATTCCACTTCCCCAACCACACCCCCCCTCAAATGATTCCTTCGTGAATCAATAAAGTTGATTACCTACACCTACCTACCTTGCTGCCAAGTACTTCTGTGGCTGTGCTTTTGCTTACTCTTCCATCATGCCCCAGCGCTTTTTTCTATGCCTGTCCACATGCGCATAGCCAAATTCGGAACCATTGCCAGTTTTTTGTGCGGTTTTGGCAAAGGCACAAGATTCTTTGCTACTTACTGTGGTTTCTGCCACTTATAGTCAAGGCAGTGTAGTTAGTACCGCATTTTCTTGCTTATAACATGTCCCTGCATATGACCTGCACCCCTAACTACACACTGCAGGAAAATAACAATGTCTTCCTCTTATTACCATGAAGACAGCTTGTGTACCAAAATTCACGTCTAACCCACACTCCGGCTTTAACTTCGAAACTTCTGTACATTTTGTGCTGGCTATACGAGAGAAAATGTGGTGGCCCCTTTCACATCTAGAGGAGTGATTGTACCAGTACTCTTTATAAGCAGGCATATGATGAGTCTCAATATGCTCGCCAATGGTGATTGAAATTCTTCTTACTGTCGTACAGGGGTATCCAGAAGCTGTTCCTGTTACTTGCAGTCCTGTAATCTTTTGATTAATGGCTGCAATTGTAATATGTTTCACGTCACTTCGGTTGCTTTCTTGGTTGCTTGTTTTTTGCAAGGTGGCCGTTGGGGTCAAGAATGCCGGGCCAAGGAGATTTCCATGCCTCAGGGTAGAGAAAATACTACACCTAAAGGCAGAGAAGATGCCACGCCTCAGGGCAGAGAAAATGCCACGCCTCAGGGCAGAGAGAAGCCTGTGCAACAAACTGGGCAGGCCAGCAATGAACGAGGTGAGAGTGCATAAAGATATGGCCGCTTCGTTGCATTAACTGATTTATTTGCGTGTCATTGAACTGTGCTCTTGTGCTAAATTTTGAAAATTGATTATATTTCTTTGTATATAAGCGCCGTCGCTCCTTACAGTTTTCTGTCCGCCTTGGTGGAACAGTGGCTGCGGTGCTCGGCTGCTGACCCAAAGGTCGCGGGTTTATCTCGGCCGTGGCAGTTTTCATTTAGATGGAAGCGAAATGGCAGAGGCCCGTGTGCTGAGCGATGTTGGTGCATGTTAAAGAACACCAGATAGTCAAACTTTCGGAGCCCTACTCTATGGCGTCTCAAAATTATATCGCGGCTTTGGGACATAAAATCTGAGATAATATGTCAGTCGAAATCCGCTACAACAAACGCCGCTACAACGATAAATTTACGGTTCACCGTCGGCAGTTCATAGGAGTCAATGCATAAATATTGTCGTTACAACGAACATTTTTTATTCTACCGTCCCGCTTCAATGAATTTTCTCAATGCAATTCCCAACTCAGATATTTATCGCTATATATTAAATGCAGTATTTATTATTTTGATGCATTTTCAGACCTTGAATATACGTCGACGAAGTCTAAAACATGCGTTGGCACCACAAGAAACCGCTGCTGTTCAGCAAGCATGAGGGCTGCCATTGCTCGATAGCGATGGCAGTGAGACTGCCCTGCTTTTGCCACTGGCTTGCTTTATAGCCGCAGAGAATCCGAAGCTTAAGCTCAGTTCATAGTTTTCTTTCTCGCAGCTGTGCTGGACGATTTTTTTTTCGATGCCAATGCGAATCACTTTGTTCGCGCTTGGCTGTTGTGTTAACTAATCAGAGCAGCTGTTCATCTGCATTATCAACAAAATCAGCTAGCCGCGAGTGGGGAATGATAAGAATGGCATAGAATAAGGCAGAAGTCACCACTCCACGATACCCTGCCTCCATCACAACGTTGTCGGATACATTTTGACGGCAGACAGCTGCTGGTGTTAACATGTTAATGCAGCTGTTTCGTTTGTTCATGAAAGCGGTTGTAGGCGTTGTTTCAGCATGATTTTCACCATGGCCTCGCTATGCATGGGTGAGAGTCATGTCGTGACACTGTTGGGAAAGAATAGCAAGCAGTGGACATTTTTTGAATTTTGAGAGTAATCGTTCCTTTGTTTCGCTAGCTCAGATCAGCTACATTTTGTCCATTTCACTACAACCAAATTTTCGCTTCAACGCAATTTCTTCCGCGCCCCGTCAGTTTCGTTGCAGCGGGGTTCGACTGCATTGTTAATTAATATCCTGACAGCTTTCGTAAAATTTAGATACAGGTAAACCTGAATATAATGAAATTGGCAAATTCCCAGAAAAATTCGTTGTATATATATGAGTTTATTATAAGCAGGTTCGGTACAAAAATTTGAAAAGTCTACGCACAAATTAAACAAAAGGGGAACTGAAGGCAGAGCTTGCCCAAAACACTCATTTAGGTAAAAACTGCATTATTATTGCAATAGCAATTATATGGACCCTCTCGCTTCTTATTTTGGTTTGGAGGGAGAGGGAGGGCACATCCGCGCTGTGGCCCCGACAGAAAGAACGCCATCTCGTGAGGCGCAGGCCTGCCTCGTGAACACCCGCGTGCAATAACAAACACTCCCTCTCGCATAGGAGTCTCCTGGGCCATCAGCACACCACTGCCGATGAAGCGGCAGCGGGAAAACCACGGGAGTTGCATGTTCTTGCCAAATTGACAAAACCCTGGACAAAATTCCTGATTGTCCGTAGCAAACATTCGTTGTATCAAGGAAGATCTCCCGTTGTTACTTTTTTACATAGAGGTCGCAAATACATGAGCTTCTATGACGTAAACGGTGGGGACTGGAAAATATTCGTTATATCAAGGAATTCGTTATATGGAGAGTTGTTGTAAGCAGTTTTAGCTGTATGGATATCACTGTCTGCTCGGCTGATTGATAAAATGTGCTTGGAAGAGAGGCAAGTAAGAGCTCTATTTCTCAGGCATGAAATAAATGTGCAGAGGGCTAGGAGTGAAAGTTAAACCTCTTCTGTCTTCGTTTCCTGCGCATTCACGCTGTGTCACTCCCTTTTCCAGGACATGCCAACAGCCCACAGAAGACGACAGAGCTTGCAAGCTGGCAGAAAAAGGCGACGCCAGTGTCAGTTGAGGACGAGGCAGCCATGCTAGCGCAGGCGATTGAGCTCAGCCACCTGGACAGCGCTGCCGATAGGTGAGGCTGCTTTTTGCTTTGTTGTGTTAGTTTTGCAGCACTTGCAGAAACATTGAAGAAAGGCACAACACTGGCATTGCATTTCTGTCTTCACTTTTTTTTTTCGTGTGATCTCTGCAAAATAAAAACTAGTATGTACAGTCAAAGCTTCCTAATTCAACCCGTTTAAATTGAGAAAATTTGATAATAGGAATGTGTTCTCTGGTCAGGGCAAGCGTATGTATTGTTTGAGGGGACAGGGTTAGCAAAAATATTCAAACAAATCATTTTTCTTTCTGCAATCTGCAGCTTTCTCTGAACCAGAAGCAGTCATTTGTTTGTCTTAGTACTATTTTTTAAAGATGATAGTCTTTATTGGGGACCTTCGTCGCAAAAATTTTGGTCTGTCTGTCTGTCTGTACATTTTTCGTCTATTTTTCCACCCTTAACGGTACCTTTAACGGCACCAAAATATCCACTTGATACTCCAAACGGCCGACCCCACCCGCAGCGGCCACCAATATTGCTCAAGGTTCAGCGTTCATACTTATGTGATTGTCAATTAACAAGCAATTATTGCGCATATCTGAGGCACCATAATAACACGTCAATATTATGTATGTGTATCTTTTACTAGAAAAGGCATACATGAGTCATTTTAAGGATCGTAGCCTTTATAATGCTGCACTGGCCATGCAATGCTTGCACGAAATGGCAAGTTTTTCCAACGTTTTGCTAAGAGGACACGGTGGTGGCACCTACCCATCGCCTTGCGTTCTACACCTTATCACCTCAAAGACGGGCGCACGCCGTTTTCCAGGATAACTGCCAGATAGCGCTCATGTCTCACGCGTGTTGCGACTTAATGCACTCGTTCACCTCCGCTGCACGCTCAAGGCACTCTAATGCAGTGCCTCCAGAATTCCATTCACCCATTGTTTCTTGCACAACATCAAATAAACGTTTTGTTCACTCTCTCCAGACGCAAGACTATCATCTTTCGACGACATTTGACGTGTAACATGCATATACAGGGCCATTTTTTTTTTTCTCTAAAAATGACATACAGTCGATTCCTCTAAACGGAACTCGAAGGGGATCCGTAAAACGTTCCATTTATCAGAAGTTTCATTTGTGTTTCACAAATGAGTTGTTTTTCACAAGGTACGCACCCATGCCTGACAAACTAGCCAGAAATTCTGGACAAGCCAATGCTCAAAATAACGCTGCAAAAGTTCGATAGCCTCTTTAGCTGATTGGTCTGGTGGCACCACTGCACTGGCAATATTGTCATCACATTCATCGCTGGAAGGTTGATCCTCATCTTACACTTCAGCAATCATTTCCTCGACAGGTATGAACATTTTCATCAACTGATTCATATCCCTGCAGCGTGAAAGGGGCAGAGGGCCCGACCTGACTGAATATTGTCTCAATGTCGGCATCAGCAGGGCTTTCTTCTTCATTAGGTACTGCTTTCTTGCGCTTGAAAGCCAGCATGGTGAAAGCATCTGTGTATTGTTGTTGCCTTCACTTGCTCCAAGGCACAAGCCAAAATGGGGATGGCTGCCAATTAATCTATGCTGTAGCATTTCCCGCTGCCTGCTCTATGCAGCATTTGATGGAGCAATTGTCTGCGGTAATGAACTTTAATGTTCTGAATAACCCCTTGATTTATCAGCTGGATTACTACCGTTGCATTGGCTGGCAAGAACTCCAGAGTGATGGCTTGGAGTATTTGAACCTGACCGTGGGCTGGGCAATTATTCATGATGAAGACAACCTTCCTGCCTTGCCTCGTAAATTGTTCGCCTTCCCCCTGAAGCCAGTTTTCGAAAATGGCTATGGTCATCCACGCTATTCCGTTCCCATGGTACGCAACGGGAAGGTGTCGAACGCCTTTGAAACAACGTGGGTGCCTCGATTTCCCAATTACCAACAGCTTCAATTTCTCATCTCCTGTCGTGTTTGCACCCACCAGCACGGTGATGTGATCTTTACTGCGTTTTCTCCAACTACAGGCTTCGCCTTTGAAAGTGAGAGTCCTTGATGGAAGCGCCTTATAAAAAAGACCCATCTCGCCGACGGTAAAGACGCCTCGTGGCTCAAAGCTCATCAAAATTTCCTTAGGCCGCCCCTGTTGCCAGTCGATGCAAATGTCCCCATTGACTGTAGCACTCTCACCTGAGATTGCTTTGAAGACTAGGCCATGGCGTGTTTTGAAGCGGCGGAGCCATCCCTCGCTTAAGACGAAGTTCTCAACACCCATTTGCATGGCGATCTCTCGAGCTTTCTGCTCAAGAATTGGTCCGCTTATGGGCAAATTGGAATTCCGTGCACGCTTGAACCAGAGAAAAAGAACTTTTTCTAGTTGTTCATAAGGCGTCATCTGTATCCGTTTAGATTTAAAGGTCCCATTCTTTACAGCGCCTTCAATCTTTCCTCTGTGTTTGCAGATCTGCAACAGCGTCAATTTTGGGATGTGTTTTTTTGGCACCTCCATCTTGGGCAGGTGGCTTCAATCGAGCTCCTGAAGAATTCGCAGCTTTTTTTTTTTTTTTTTTTTTCAAGCGAGAGTGCATGGTGCGGCCGCTGACTTTCCATCTGGCTGAAATAATACCGCGATCCACCGCACTTAGCCGCACAAATAAGCCTAACACATAACTGACTCGCCGTCCTGGCTCCCACAGCTACCACAAGTTAAAATAGTTACTGAATTGGCTTGTCTCGAGGTGTTGAGGTTGTGAGACTACTTTTGGCCTGAACAAGTCTATGCTGTGTTTAGAGTTAGTGCCGTTCAACAGTAGGTGACCAATATGCACTGTTTCGATTAATCTGTACACTTTACTGTGCAACACATAGAAATCCAGCCATATGGGCCCGTTTAGTTCCGTTAATGAGGCATTTTCGTTTGAGGGGAGATGCTCCTCGAAAAAAATTTTCTACAAATATTTGTGACAGTTTATAGAGTTTGAGCTCCTCTTTTCAAATATGCTTTCATTTTCTTGATAGCTCATTTAGTTAATTTTTATAGACAATGCATTTGTAAAAACAATGCATTTTTGTTCAAGCTTAGGAAACAATAGTAAGCACAAGGAAGCTCTAAAAATAGCAAATGTTCCTCTTAATGAATTGAAGTATTCAATAAAGCAAATAAACATTGTGTAACATATGTGTGCTGGCCTAGAAAAAAATTCTAATGCCGAGTTTCAGTTTTACCATGCTCAAAGAACAAGCTTTTGAAAATATCTAGCTGATCATGCTTTGGAGACCTCTGAAAATTGCTTATTTGAATTCAGGACATGTTAAACATTAAGCATGCCAAGTTTCATTGCATTCCGACTTCATGAATCGTACAAATTTTAGTGCACAAACTATAAAAATGCCGAAAAACAAGGAACTGAGAAAAACAGGTTTGAAAGTTGAAAAACATGTTTAACTCTATACTCTTCAACCGATCTGCACGAAATTCACATAAAATGTTACCAAGGCTCTCAGTTCAGTTTTAGAAGGATCCAGCGCCATACGTTGGGCCCTCGCAGCCTCTGCGAGCTGCCTCATCCAGGCGGGATTTTTTTTGCGGCACTGCTGCGATGGGCCGTTGCTTCAGCTGTGACCTGTGCCGTCATGCTGGAAATGCGCCTCTTGTTGGCATCCTTGCCTAAGGAAAGCAATTCCTTAGACGGGAGAACTCCAAGTTCCTGAAGCACCTCTTCAAACCCAGAGTGCCCTCAGTTGAACCAAAGGACAGCGATTGCCGTCGCTGTTTCAACCACGGTTCTTGTCACAAATTTTGTTTTTGGGCACAACAGCCATACGTTGCTGTTGAGCGATTCAGCTGCGTTCTGTGTCTGTCCTTTCATGCAACGCTGAAGCAGCTTTTCTTCTGTCAGCCTTTTGTAGACTGGCAGCATTGCCTTGCCTTGGGAAGGAGTCAGGATGGGAGTGTGGGGTGGTGCTGGCTCACCCAGTGCTTGTGCTCGCTTGTGCTTGCACCAAGACGCGTCACCGTCTGGGCAAAACTTGCGACTGCTGGCACCATCTCTCGAGCAAGAGTGGAAGTAGGATGCCCAGACAGCACAATACATGTTGCGAACACTGCCTCGGTTACTTGTGATTGGGACTTGAAAATAGCACTGCAGCTTGTGAATTGTTGCGTCCTTTAGCTTCTGCCCTCTTGCATCTTCAATTTTCGGAGAACTGTTCCAAGTCTTTTGGCGACATGATTAGTGCAGTCCTCCTTTAGCCTAAACAGGAACACCTTCATACAGATTCAGTTCTGACACTGCAGTATATGCTTTGCTGTCTCCATCAGAAAGGAACGTTGTGAACTGCAAAGGTGTGCTGTAGGAGTCTGTTCTTTTCCATATACGTACTGCAGCCTCGGTCTCCATTGCGTGTGCTGAACAGGTTGTGTTTTTTTCGCACACAGGTGTGTTAAATGCTTGCCAAATTTATTTTCTATCCTCCATGCCTTGTGCCTGCTGCAGCTGAGGCAATAGTTCGACAGCACCTCAAAGTCTAAACACAGCCCTGTGGCAAGGGAAATGGCCGTACCCACACCATTATGGCTTTTGTGGCCGCTTTTTTGCCATGTTTCGTCGAACATAACTGCTACATTTGACGATCCGCCGTCATCTGCAGTCAGCTGTCTTGCTCGTGCGAGGTTTTCAGCAACGGCTTTCATGGCGGCTGGGTGCACTTTTTTGGCAATGGCTGTGAATGTCTTATGATGCACTGGTTTTGTAATGCCAAGGATCACGCAAAACCGCGCAAGCTGATCGTGTCTGCCGATCGCACGTGCTGCGACCACTGACTTTACATTCACGGCGAAGCTTTCCCGTGCGCTGCCGCTGGCGGATGTATCCTCCCTTTCACTGCATGATGCAGACACGCGGCTTGACGTGTACGTTGATGAAACGACAGTTGTAGCACATGCGTCATTTCGGCAATGAAGTTCTAAAAGCAATGCCTGTCCTTTTCGTTTATCTGCCAACTCTTGAACAGACAGCTTGCACCGTCCGCAGTTGGGGCATACTGCGCCGCTGACGAGGTTCTGCATCAAGTCCATCTCGCAAATAAATGCGCTGCCGCTCTCACCTTGATGCTCGCTTTCGTCGTTGAACATCTTCATTTTTCTCTCTGAAGCACTGACGAAATCATCGAAGCTATGGATAAAGGTCAGAGAATCCAAATCGGGTGCTTCGTTGTTGCCGGGGCTAGGCCTAGCAGCAGACGAACTTCCCGTCGCCGGAGCTCTCCGCTTGCATTTGGTGCGCCTTCCTTTGAACTGGTGCCTCGTCATAAACTTGCGTGAACGAAAGTCACGTTTTTTGCCGTAATCTATCGGCACTATTGCAGAGAAAAAGTAACTCGGGCGGTTGTTTCTGCCGTCTCGTCTCGGCAAAAGCAGAAGAATGAACAAAGAGGATGCATGCTGGAATGCTCGCAACCAATGGCGGCGCTCCAATCATGCCACGTGACTTGAAAGGCCCACACGCCACGCTGGAATGCAGTGGGGAAATGATTTTTTTTGTTGTATTTTCAGCTAGAATGCCACGCTGCCGAAGTGGGCATTTGGAAGTGAGGGTTAGGCCTACATGCCCGCGAAATTTCAAGAGGCGGCGATGCGACAGAGCGAAGTGCCGCGCGCGCGAAAATCTGGTAATCTCGCACTTTTGCGAGCTACCGCGAGTGCTTTAATTGTATTTGTTGATAACTTCTAGTTGATTCTCAGCTTTTATTTTTCAATATATTAAAGAGAAGGCTTGGAGGAGTACAAAACAAAACACGAAATTGACTTTTTCAAAAAATATCGCTGTTTTTCAACCCGCATCTCCCCTTAAGCGAGTTTCGTTTATTGGAGTCCACTGTACTATGTCTCGCACACCAGGTCATAAACAAGTGCTTTGGTTGTCTTGGTTACCTTCCTTCGTTGTCTATACACCTGCATGTCTTAGTTGTGAAACGCCATGTGTAGTCAGCTTTCAAGAAGTTTTACTGCTCTGCAGCAAATTGGAAGAGGAGCAGCTACGCATTGTCCTGGAGCAGTCTCGGCAGGAGACACAAAGAAGAATAGGAGGAGGAGGCAATCACAGGCGTGGGGCATCACGTTCTGGCCGCCGAGGTTGGGGAGGCCCCGGAAGAGGGGGAGGAACTGCCGAGAGTTGCCCGCAGGCTTCACCCCCGCCACATCTGGCAGGGCCCCCAAACCGCCGCAATGGCTTCACCATCGTGGGCAGCATAGATGCCGGTCCCCTCACCTCCGGAGCCAAGCTTTCTCCTCCTTCACTGCACCAAGTTCCACCTCATCCTCCTAAGCCTCCACTTTTGCCTCCTCCTCCTCCTCCTCACCAGCCACTTCCTTCCCCTCCGTCATCTACTAGTGCAGAGCCTGCCGTGTCGTTCGACCAGTGGCTGTCTCTGTGCAGCCGCTACATGCCCCTTCTGGCGCAAAGCATGGTGGAGCTTCAACGCACGTGTGCCACGATGCGTTCTGTGGCTCCATCTCTCGAAGGGTCGCCCCTGTTGCTGCCACCCCCACTTTGGTCACCCCACTTTCCTCCACCAGCTGCACAGTCACCTCTGTCACCCATGCCCCCTCCTCCTCCCTTAAATCCACCCATGAATCCACCCTTGAAATCTCCCATGACCTCATCCACGACCTCACCCATGGGCCTGCCTCCTTCCATAGGCCCTTCTCATGTGGCCCCACTTGAGGGGGGTCTGCTCAGTGCTGTTGCTGCCTCAACCTTCCAATGCCTTACCCCGCCAGTACGAACACCAAGGCCGGTGAGTTCTCTTGGTCCCATTTATTTTGTAAAAGGGCAGGAATAGAGCTATACTCAAACTTCGATTAAACGAAACCGGATGTTATGAAGTACGGCTAAACCCCTTTATGAGAGACATGCTGCGAGCAGCAATTCCTGTCTTCTATATGAGAAGTCTCTTATAGGCAGGGTACCTCTTATGCATTTTCTTGCCAACCCGTATTTTAGCGTAGGCGCACTAGTGTCTCTTACACCCATTTATCTCTTATATCAGTGTTCCTTATAAAGGGGTTCAACTGTATTGGTTATAATGAAGTAAATGAAAAATACTCTTCCAATAAATAGTCTTAGGAATAATCCTTTATAATAAATTTTTTTGTGAACTTATTTTTCTGCAACATACAACTTTGTTGTTATGACAAAGTTTGAGTTTATGTTGTAATACTACATGTTGTATCTGGTGTGGTTTGGGTAGTGCACACAGCCAGTGGACTTTCTTTTTGCTCGAGAGTCTAGTTTTGTAGCTTCAATTTATCTCACAAATTTATTGAGCACTGCCAGAACTATAATGTAGGTTGAGCCTGAATATAAGACCGCCGCCCATCAAAGGGTGCTCTCACTGGAAAACGAAGGATAAGCTGTGTGGAAACGCCTTTTATTTACTTCCCTCAACCATCCAGTCTCCCACTCGGGAAGAGAAAGGGCTGAGACTTTACATTTGAAACTAGGCTTGTGTGAATAGTGAATTTTTGGTTCGAAGTGAATTCGAAGCAAATCGTGATTTCGATCGAATTATTTTGAATTGAATTTGAATGGTATGTATGACATATAAAAAAAAAGGGAATATTTATTATGACCTAACTATCCTGAAATGAAGAAAAGGCTCTATGCAAATGCAATTTTTTTTTTCGCTCGAAGGAAGTCGAAACAACCTTGAGTAGTAGTTTCGGTAGGATGCGAGTGATAACCTGTAAGATACTTGACGTCTTAAAATTTATTACACTTGGAGCATATAAGTTGTCATAACAAGCTTAATAAAATGAATTGATTTGAGGGTAACATGTTCCTTTAAAGGGGCCCTGCAACACTTTTTCAAGTAGCCATGGAGCTAGTAAACATGCTTGTTGCCTCGCAAATTTACCGCCGCAAAGTTTCTAGAATCAGTCCAGTACAAGCGGAGTTCCACTAAATTTCTCGCACGCTGCAATTGTATTCTCTTCTTGCCCCGACGAAATAGCTGGAAGGTAAGCAGGGAAGAATGGCACGGCGAAATAAAATACTTTACACGCACTTCGTGACTTTAAGCGCCTCATTTTTTTTTGTCTTCGAATGCGTGGCTTTTCAGTGCGATCGGGCACATACTCATGGACAAGCGGTGGCCCCAGTAACGACGAGCACTTCATACTCAAATCGGCCAATACCTGCGACCTGAGCCGTATATTCCTTCTTGGCTGTGACAAGTGATTTCTCGGCCTGTGGTGTCATTTGCCGACGAAAGAAAGCAATTTTTAGCTTTGAAATTTTATTGTGAATTGCAGGCTACGAGCTGTGCAACAATATTTGCCTCACGTGTTCTCGATAGCGTCGACTACCGATTGGCAGCGTTTTTTGACCATGTTATGCAGGTGTTGCAGGGCCTTTTTAAATTTGAAGGGGGGCTTCACAGCAAAGCGAATTTTTTTTATATAGGTGCTTTCACTGTTTCGTACTCCTACATTGCAGTGAAACCATTTTTACAGGGAGTGACATGCGGAAGAATATACACCTATTCGTTCATTGCAAATACTTCGAACATATTCGGTATTTTATATTCGAATCAAAGCGAATTTGAATACTCAACTATTCGTTCAAATATTTGAAGCATTCGAATATTTGCGCATGCCTATTTAGAACACATTGCAACTGTGATAGAAGGCCTTTGATATGTCCTCTCAAAAGGCATGCTCTTTCGTAGGCCCTTTCATTTGTATGCACTCACAGGTAAAGATCATGAGTGGAGCTCCCCCGTCAAGTCTGGATAGGCAGTGGTTTGACACAGAGTGATGTTTTCTTTCAATTGCTCTGTGTCATGTTGTTAACCTGCTGCGTCCAGTAGTAGCAAATGCTTTCCTCAGAAACGCTGAACTTGCTGTATGCTGCAAGATTTCCACATGCCTCGGTGAACTATATAGCTCTTCTAATGGCCGTCATCATCATAATCGGCCGCCTATTAATTATGGCACACTCAGGTGCATGTGCACACCCCTGTGTTTTTGTTCCTCGTGCGGCGTGCTCCGCGGTTAGGAAAGAATAAAGTTCTGCTCCTGCCGTCAGCCTGAACAGGTTTCTTGTGTTTTCACTCACCGGCACATGCATGGTTATAGAGGACCTAACCTCGGTCCCTTTAATGTGGTGACCCGGACGTGAGTACGGCAAGGCGAGCACTGCGGCATGGACAAGACTACGAACGACAGACCGACGAACGGCACGGAAGGCATCGCCACGGTGCAGATTCGGCTGCAGTCGTTTTGGCCACAGAATACTGCAGCCTGGTTTATGCACATCGAGGCCATATTCGCCGAAGGCTGCAGTTGTTTTGGCCACAGAATACTGCAGCCTGGTTTACGCACATCGAGGCCATATTCGCCCTTCGGCGCATTACTTCGCAGCAAGTGAAGTATCTGCACGCTGTCTCCGCTCTCTCAACGGACGCGGTTGCAGAGTTCTATGACCTTGTGGGCGCGTCCTCCGGAACAGATTCTTATGACCGTTTCAAGGCAACGGTGCTTCATCGCAAGTCTGTGCTTCTCAGCAAGCGTCTTCAGCAGCTTCTCAACAAGGAGGAGCTCGATGACCGGCAATCGTCAGAACTTCTGCGCTGCATGCTGTGGTTTCTCAGTGACTGTCAGTTTGGCGCAAACAGCTCGCTGCTGCGAGAGCTGTTCTCTCAGCGCCTGCCGCAGCACGTGGTTATTGCCTTGGCTACCGTACCAAACGACCTGCCCTTTAACAAGCTGGCGGAGCTGGCCAATCGTGTCACTGACTATTCGGCAAGAGGTACTGTGGCAACGACATCTACCCTTCCGCTGTCACAACTCTAAAACTGCAGTCTCGCCTCGAGCAATTAATTGAATGCCTTGCTGAGACGGTTAATGCACTACAGTCACCGTTCCACCTCGTCGACGAGACTGCGATTGCCGTCCCAGATCTTCTCCGAGATCTCACTCCCGTTCAGGTCTTCGTCGACCCATATACTGCTGGTATCACAGCACCTTCGGTGCCAGTGCGCATCAATGCCGACCTCCTTGTAACTGGCAGGGAAACATACCGCAGAGCCACTAATGGCGGCCTGTGACTCTTGCCATACGACAAGTCTCCTGTTCTATGTGACTGACAGGATTGCCGGACATTGATTTCTCGTGGAAACAGGTGCAGAGGTCAGTGTCATTCCTGCGGCACAACTAGACCGGCAATGCTCTCCAAAAACTGCACCCCTTTAAGCAGCCAACAACTTTCTCATCAACACATATGGTTAGCGCTCTCTTACCATCGATTTGGGTCTCCGACGCACCTTCCGATGAGTATTCATTGTTGCAGACATACGCATGGCCATATTGGGTGCTGATTTTCTGACCCATTTCGCCCCGTGTTGACCTTCGATCATGTTGACTCATCGACAGAACGACTAGTACGTCCATACAGGGCACTCTTGCACCTCTAACAACTACCACTGGGAAATTGCCACAGATATCATCTGTGTTCGCCTTAATTCTGTCAGACTTTCCAGCCATCACGAAACCTTCCAACCATGAGCTGCCAGTCCGCCACAATGTCATGCATCATGTAGTCACTACTGGCCCTCCGCTATTTCGCGGACCCAGACTCCTTGCTAGGGGTCGCCTTGCCATTGCAAAAATAGAATTTGACCACATGCTGCAACTGGGCATCATCCGTCCTTTGTCGAGCAGTTGGTCGTCAGCTATGCACATTGTACCAAAGCATGACCCAGGGGATTGGGGCCCGTGCGGCGACTACCGTGCTCTCAACGCGCGCACTGTCTCTGATCGCTATCCCCTCCCTCGCATTCACGACTTCTCTGCCAACCTCGCAGAAGTGGTGATATTCAGCAAGATAGACTTGGTAATGGCCTATCACCAGATTCTGGTTGAGCCAGCAGACATTCCCAGGACTGCATTTGTGACACCATTCGGGCTTTTCAAGTACGTTCTGTAGGGAGTCCGTCCTATGTACGGCTCACGCAGAAGCCTAGCTAATGTTCCAGCCGCACACAGTTGTACCGTGCAGGATTAATGTCCCCTATCTGTAGCTCGTCTCATTGCAGCTACATGGGTTTGGGCGAATAAGGCAACAGGCTAGGTCAGCAACACACTTTATTGCTATATGTTAGCAATAGCGCGTAAATGTCGTGAGGAGATACTAAAGAAAACAACGGTAGACGCTTACTCCTTGGTCGTTGTCCTCCTCTGCTCACAGGGGGGGTTGCTGGTTCGACCTCCTTCTTCCAAGGCCGTTGTCAGAGAGGCGTGCGGCCATCCGTACACTAGTTTTGTTCACTGACCCAGGTTTCCTCACCCTGACGAGAATAATACCTTTTCTCGCTGAGGGAAGGGAAACCCGTTCCGCACGCCGGGAAAGGGGGAATCGCGAGTGCTGGCCGCAGGGGTGTTCCATCCCCTCGCAAGAGGCTTTATGGACTTTCCAAAGGACCGTCATTCCCCCGCAACTAAGCAGGAAAGGGGGAAACGTGAGTGCTGGCCGCAGGGGTGTTCCATCCCCTCGCAAGAGGCTTTATTGACTTTCCAAAGGACAGTCATTTCCCCGCAACTAGGCTGTCGCGTTGCCGTAAAAGGGAAAGGGAGGCTGGGCGCACATGCTCATCCACAACCCCCCCCCCCCTTAAGAAGGCCCCCAAAGGACAGAGATTGAAATGGCTGAGAATATTTTGTTGTTCATCATCGACAAAGGCTAGGACAGTGGGTCCCAATCCGTGCCCTCCTGCGGTTGGCCCTTTGTTGCAGGTGC